TGGTTACTTAGCTGCTTGTGAAGGATCTGTCCCTGAAGCTGGTTAGAGATGAATGGTGAGTTTGCTGCTTGGCATGCCAATTGAAAGCAATAGTTATTTATTCATCTACCCATTATATAGATTATAATTTACTACATGTAAATTTAATTATTATTATAATAATTATAATTATAGCATTAATATTATACAATAGTTACTAATATAAATTTTAATAATAATGAGGAAAAAAAAATAACAAGTACTGCCAAGAAGGTAAATAAAATAATATAGTTAATCACAAGAAAGGATAACTGCTGTCAAGTTTATAGGGTTGTTCAAGTTTTGATTGGCCTTGATAACATGCCCACTTTAATTAAGGCATTGGTTATACATTCAATGCTTATCACACATGCGAAAAATCTGCTTCAAAAACGGTATGCTAAAATGTATGGAGAATCTATGTGAGAACACCAGTGTTAATACATTTTTGTTAGCTGAAAAAATGGCCAAATTGCAAAAAAAAAGTTGCACTGTCTGAACATACAATTTACATGGATTGAAAAAGAAATTGTTTATCGCACATATTAGTCAGTTAATGTGACCTAAGATATTGATTAATGTTTAGCATCACATCATACCGGGTTGTCATAATTGTTTCCGAAAGGAATAGCATCAGTGCAGTAAACTATAAACTACTTTGATAAATTTGATGAGTCACGCGTATAACGTAATTAAATTGATCACGATAAGAGCGATAATAAACCGTCTCATACGGTATAATATTAATGTAACATTGTGACAATAATAATAACATGTTTTGTTGTAAAACTATTGAAAAGGAGTAACGTGATACGATCGTCTTACTAAACAATAAATTATATTAATGTTCTGACCCAAATCGGCAATTTGACCCCAATTTTGTTTTCGATAGCATCACATGAACAAGTCGCTTATTGGTGTGATATTGCCTATGGAAAGGCTAATTGCTTGGGTCAGATTAATATGGTGCGTATTTATAATAGTGTAGCTTAATTTATATATTAATATAATAATCAATAATATTGGTATAGGTACTGTACGTTTGTGCAATTATTTGAAAATTCTATTAGCCATCATACCAGATGTATATACAGTTGACTCTGCCTATACGGATGGACATACCGAACCAGAATCACCAGGCCCGATTTTTCCTAATCAATAAATCCGGTTATAACGCAAGCTCTGGTTATAACGAACTAAAATTCTGGTCAGTTCGGTATAGGCAGCGACAGCTGTATTTACACTAAAAATTGTTCCATATTAATACTGTATACTGTATTCAGAGTATTTATATTTACTACTATTACATATTAATACTGATTTAATTTCTACATTCCATTTTGTCATGTCACGTGTCAAGAGCATATAATTTTGAACACGCAAGTGGAGAGAAACGGACCTGCACTATGAGTAGCTTTGAACCAGAGGAGAAGGCAAAGCTGATCAAGTATGTACATTGAAAGGAAGAAAGCGTCAATTCTCTACCGAAAAAGTCTTCGTATAATAATTGTGTTCGCTTCGTATCTTAAAATACATAATAGACAAGTCATTGATCTTCAAGAAGGATTAAAAGGTACTATATTTGTAAACTTACATTAGTCGGTACAGGTAAAAGATTTGATATGTTCAAACTTCTCTTTGACCGAACTGCTCTTTCTTACGCTTTTCACTTCCATGCTAGCTCTTATAGACAGGGTGGAATCAGTAAAGAAAGACCATGAAAAAATACAGTCAAGCAATCAGATCTTACAAACATATATAAACAATTTAATGTCATCGAGTGTGTTATCGTCTTTAGGGGCAAACAGACAGGGCCTTTTGGAAAAGTATGAGAAACAAAAGAATTCGAATGGTTGAGACGAGAGAGGGAAGTCTACATTGGATTTCTTCAAAGTGAGTATCGAGTCATAATACATCTCGTTAACATTTATTTTGGTTTACTGACGTTCGATATGAAAATTCTACCATGGTTATAAGTCGTATTACATTTACAGTACCAACCCAAATCGCGTATACATTGATCTATCTTTAATTAACTAATGCGGCATTTGAACGGCTCCCATAGTTTTGCTCAGCACAAGAAGCATACTGGACGCCATAGGTCAATATTATTCCAAATAATTTCAATTACGTTCCCTTCCGCTTTTCGATCTTGCGTCCATCGTAATCTATCATTCCTCGGCATCTATTGGACCCAACACATAGGGATACACGAAATGATCGACGATAGATTCACATTACTTGACATTGTAGTATTGAAAAAAAATTGCTGGTACACATCTAATATTATAATGTCCTTGTACAAATAAATCGAAGTTCAAATAATCACATCGTGCGTATGCTACTAGAGAGCCAGCCATCTCGGTGCTCTCTAGAATGACCCTGAATTAACCTAACACAAGAACAATATGTCGCATTAACAGCTAATGCCACACAGTAGATGATCCGACAAAGCGTGTCGCTTACCTTATCTTTGAGCAAAGCCAACCATTGATAATAACTCATAACTGTATCAGTGCGATCTTCTATAATATGCGATAAGAACCACAACCTCAAAGCAGGATCACCATCCTCTTTGACTATGTATAGTTGCGGATAGTATATCCCGCGTCTTGATTCGCGTGTTTTACCAATTATTGCGTTTATCTTTTGTGAGAAATCAGTTTCAAGCACGGGTAAGGTACTCTACGAATTGGAATAATGTATGAAACATGTTGGTTAATGGAGATACTCAGATTACCAGCACAATTTGTTCACATTTATGCATCTTCACCTTGCCACCACGAATAGCCTCATACGAAGCCAAGCCCAGTAGATCCATACATAACTGGGGAGATACTTCCCGCCCAAACCAAATAAAGATGTTTTGGCTGTCTTCCAGCATATAGCATCCATGTCTTTCCAATTTTTCAATTGTCAGGTTCATTGATAGCGGCATAATAATGCCATCGGGACCATAGGTTCCCACCTACGCACATGGATAGGTATGTCATTAAAGTGCCACAGAAATGGGGGGAAAGCACAACAATTCACAAACCTCTGGAGGCATATTATGTAGAGAATAGAAGCGTGGATATAAATAAGGTATCAATAATTGTGACGGCATTGTTCTTAGAAGACACATAGCATATGCTCGAAGATCTGTCGGAATCTGCGAGCTTTGACGAAGACCAACCTGAATTTGTGCAAGGATGATGCGATACATAAATAAATTCAAATTAGTAAAACTTATACTAAGCCTGCTTCCTATAATCCACAAACGTTCACTAATTGCCGGTGAGCACTTTTTCCTCTTTACACATATTCATCTTACAAGGGATGCGTACATGTTTCAATAATGCAAGACTTAACAAAGGCAGTAGTTTTAAATTATCACAGATTTGTAATTGTGGAGAAGCACCACTCTGAATTGAAGTCAGTTGTGACTTGTAAGCGCCCAATATATCTATCGTCTTATTCGTCAATGCTTCCCTAGCGTCCTCCAACTTCGCCGTGAGAGATCTCTCTACCGCTACATAACACATAAAAAGCAGTATTAGATATAAAATGTCAACATATTAGTGCTGATACAAGTCGGAACAAGTTATTAACCTTTATGAGCCAAATAACTCGCAATAGCGATCTGATCCGCTGATGCAAAAAGCTCACTCATGCTATTTGTTACTGGTAGACATAACGTTAATACACGGATACGCCTCTCACCTATGGAGCATATTACAATCAAAATATTAGTAAAAACTCCCATCGGCCTCCAAACAACAAAATATAGATTAACATTACTATGCACCGTAACATGTTGTGTGTAACAAGGCTGTCTGAAAGCAAGCGATTGGGTTACTTATGTTTTCCTCAATTGACATTTCAACGACATACGAATGATCTCGTGATACTGTCGGTAAACCCAACAAGTCTGTTTGCCGAATGAAAAAATTGCCGTGGAATGTATTCAGACGGATACCTATTCAAAAACGTCATTGAGTGTTCGCTGTTACGTAACGTATTCACGTAGTACAGTTAGAGAGATGAAGACTTACCTTTTGACGCTCTGACACGCACAACAGCTTCTAATCCGATAGGACTCGCTAAATACTCTGCAAATTCATGAGCAAATTTCAAAGCATCTTCCGATCGACTTGCGTTAAAGGCTGGATAGAAATACGTCTGGCCACCAATGTATCGTGGACAAGAACCTTCACAATCATAAACATATATTAATTATTATGCTGCCAGGGATCACTAGTATTAATTGCTAAATTATTAAAACTTCCATTTTCTTACTTAGTGTAGCTACGTCGGAATACTGTGAGCCAAGTAAAAACATATCGACAGAAATTTGCACACGGGAGCAATCCACAGCAAACGTCTTGTAGAATGAATCAGCAGGTTGTAATAGTTGTGACTCCTATAATAAAGAAAACGTTTAATTAATTGTACAAAGTGCAAAAAGACCTTGCTTGAAAATACCTTTGGAGTTCCCAACGCTTTCGGGTCTTCTCGTGGCTTTAATGCTCCTGGGTTTATATTGGGCAAACTTGATTGAATTACAGTAATTTTCCCTCCGATTGGAGACTTTGGCGCAATGAAATATTAGTGTAACTTCCTAACACAAGCTAACGTCTAATCTCCTAGTAATACTCACTATTAGTTTATATGCAGCCAATAGTGCTGGTCCTAATGCGTTTCCAACTACTTGAGTATCTTTGAACATGTCTCCCAGCCGTCCCAACAACGATTCCAAGGCCTCACGCGCTTCGAATAGGTTGACTAGCAAATCATCTGGTTGTGGTAAGAATACGTCATCGAGGTCAGATACGACGAGCATCTGGGGTTCGGATGAGGAAGACTTTGCACGCAGATTGAATCCAATGACGTTTATCGATTAATGGAATAGACAATATATGAAAAATTGATAATTGCGTTAATAACGAAAAATTTACCGGAAGACTATAAAAGTGTAGCGCTACGTCTACAGTAATAATTGCAATCTTCGTGCGGTTATCCTCGTTTGGTAGGCGGTCTAAGGATTCCAGAATAGTTCTCGCGGCTGTGGCAACTGCACCTGTTTTTTTAATGAATGAATGTTGCACACAATGAGATTTAATGGGCCATATGTTAGCATATCAGACAACTTCATAATAGTTCTTTGTTCATATTTCAGCTCAGAAAAATAGTCACATACCTGATTGAACAGCTGGATAGGACACATCTATGACGAATACGTAAACAGGTGGTTGAGGCGGCCGAACCTTTCTCATAAAATCATTTGACAGAGTGAGTTTCAAGTTTTAGTACTCTAACATTCGACCAAAATCAGTCAGTGATTACCATATATTCTGTTGGTGCAACAAATTCTACAACAGCGTGATTGATTTCTGCCCGTTGCCATCTGTCAGCCTTCTTATTCGCGTGTATATCCCAATCAAATTGATTTGGTACTAAACACACAGTAATCGACGTATTTGTGTTAGCATTCGTTGAAAAATAAAGCGGTATCAAAATCAATGCGAAATTTCAAGATCCTTTCTATCACGCTGCAGCCCTACCTTCGTTAAGCAAATAACATAGATTACACTGCCACCTCTGTCCACCATCCACAAAGTTTACGAAAGGATTTATATATGTTCGACACCTTCGACATCTCGCAATGACTGTATCTGTGACAACTGGAACGGGATCCTAGATCCGTCGAATTATAAGCAAAGTGTGTCTAGCAAATAACATACTATAAGAACAATGTACTTACGTCGCCTTCTTTCAGACTTCGATAAGGTGTAATGACGAGAGCAAATGGTAAGCGAGATTTAGTCAGGAGAGACGAGGTGGCAGGTATTGCGTTCAAAGTGCATCTTTTGTAAGACAGATCACAATTGGCTTTCTCAGACGTAGTAACAGATGCCTTTCAAATGGAATTGAAATATTATGTAAATTAGTACACCCGTACACAACATATTAAATCATTGATTACATATGAGATCATTATTTTCCGAGCACGTACGTTGGGAGGCAAGGTAATTGGTGGTGGAGGTGCATCCAGAGCACTCACATCAGGTTGGGTGCCAATGAGATGAATAGGAATCAACGGGGACTTTGCGGAAAAAAAATAAATTGGATAAACACACCACCATAAAAATATTAGTACATCGCTATTCATCGACAACAACCCACCGATCTGCAAAAATGCACTCTACCGAATGCTGCCCGGTCAGATTCATTTGCCCAAATTGATTCGCCATTCCAGCGACATTGGGTGCGGGGGCTACAGCTGGCTGCACATAGGCCTGAGAATATGCCGGAATTTGCGTTCCTAATGTATTAGCGGCCGCGGGAGTAAAGAATTGTGGAGACTGTGGCACCAGAGGCGGTTGCTGCTGACCGGGAATGCCAGGCATTTGTGGTGATGCTACTGCTGCTGGTGTGTACGTCTGATGCATAGGATCATATGGAGCGGATTCACTGTAGGCTTGTCCAATCTGCTTCGGATAAACCCGTTTTTGTTTATGGGTAGTAACTGGCGGGGATGGAGCACGCTGGCCAGGCGCAGTTGATGCGGGCATATCTGGAGGTGGTGTTAGAGCAGTGGATACCATACCCGGTTGATAATTCACCTGAGGTACACCCGATTGTTGGGTGGGATACCCAGGACGACCGGGTGAAGAGGGTGGGACCACACCAGGTCTGAAAGCAGGAGAGACGGGAGGGCGAGTATAGGCAGCATGGCCAGGCGAATTAGTTGGTATCATATTAGGTCCAAAAGCAGGAGAAGTCGGCGGGCGACCCACACTCTGGGCGATCGGTTGCCCTGCATGGTCTACTGGTACTCCTGGACGAAAATTTTGGGGAACAGGAGGGCGAATTTCAGGTTGCTGATTAGGTTGAATGTTGGCCATGGAGCTTTTTCTCAGTAAAAATAACTTCTACAAAAATTATCTCGTTTAATACCCAACCCAGACCACTCAAAATTCAACACGAGTATATCACACAAAGCGATTATCGTCCAATAGGAATATTAGATCATGCGCCAAATAGAATTTGACACTAAATTAATTCCCAATATCATAATGTATATATAAAGAGATTTCGCCGCCGAAAACATAATTATTTTACATCAACACTCTTTTTGCTAGAAAAAGTGTTAAAGCTTACTTGGCATAAAACCGTGGTATACGCCACGAATGCTTGTTATCTTATTATAGAAAATATATATTCTTATTCTCTATTATGTCGAACTACGCTCGTTATCGTCTTCTGTTAATAATAGTTTGCTTTACTTCTTTATTATTTTTATATTATGTCTACTTTACAGGCGCGAATGTTTCTCTCGGTCTCGGTGTACGGGAGAGATTTTTCCAAAATGAATATTTGGATCCGCAACTAGATCCTTCGTTGCGTGAAATAGGAAATGTGAGAGCCGCCATCGTAGTCCTTACCAGGAACTCAGACCTCACAGAAATCTTGCGAACTATGAAACAATTTGAGGGTCGTTGGAATAGGAGATATAATTACCCCTATGTCTTCTTGAATGACGGGGAATTTAGCCAGAGGTTTAAAGACAAGACAAGTGCGGCAACGAGAGCCAAGACTTTCTATGGTTCGTGTAACATGAATTTGATGACTATGTTTATTTATAGAATAAGCAATGAACTTTGTCATTAATTAGGTACGATTCCGCAAGAAATGTGGAGTTACCCGTCATGGATAAATCAAACCAAGGCTGCGGAAGTACGCGCACAAATGGCCAAGGATCAAATTATTTATGGGGACTCTGAGTCGTATCGACACATGTGCCGATTCTATTCCGGTTTCTTTTTCCACCATCCACTCCTTAAGAAATATGATTATTACTGGCGCGTAGAACCCGGAGTCAAGTACAATTGTGACATCAATTACGATCCATTTGCTTTCATGCAGAAGTATAAGATCAAGTATGGGTTTACTCTGTCTCTTATGGAATACAGAAGCACCATAGCCACTCTATGGGATACTGTGAGAGACTTTATAGACGAGTATCCGAATTTGATAAATCCCAACAATTTTACACGTTGGATTTCAGATGATGATTTGGATAACTACAATCTGTGAGTATATTAGTCATTTCAATTTTACAAGACTGAATCAAAAGAACTTTGGTTTGGCGGCTAACTGTGAAGCATACATATAGTTGTCATTTTTGGAGTAACTTTGAAATCGGTGATCTAAACTTCTGGAGAAGCGAGGCATATACAAAATTCTTCGATTATCTTGATAAAAGTGGCGGCTTTTTCTACGAACGGTTTGTGTACATCTAGTTGTGCTCTAAATTCTCCCATTATCTTTGACATCGCTCATAAAATTGCTTTTATTAGATGGGGAGATGCGCCAGTTCATTCGATAGCTGCGGCATTATTCTTGGAAAAATCGGATGTGCACTTCTTTAATGACATTGCGTACAGACATGAACCATTCGAACATTGTCCTCCTGAACCAAGATATCGTGGCAATTGTCAATGCAACGTTTCAGAAAATTTTGGTGAGTATTGCTTTGAGTGAATGGATCTGTTACCTTCTACATTATTTGACTAACTTTTTCGTTCTGCCTTAGATATGCATTGGTATTCTTGCACCAGAAAGTGGTTTGAAATCTGAGTGCGTTTCTAGAGTTTGTTTGTAAATATTCATCATTTACACTGAAAAAGTGATATGCGGTGTTTCCCTTTTTTAAACAAATCTTACATTATTCTTTCAATTAACTTTAACCAAGCATGTAACCATATTAATTGATGATAAATTTGCTGTTGCAATACTAGCACGTAGTTGTGTTGGCTTACATTAACTATGGGAGTAAGCATGATGATCACGTACTACACGTTCGGTTAAACATGATAATTATTCCTATCCAAACATAACTTCCAAAGTAGACGCATGCGCCTTAAGAATGTACAGCTTCAGAAGAATCGAGAAAATCTCTGTATTTGGGTAAAACTTTTTTTGTCTTCAGGGATTCTGGCCCTATTGGTTAGAATTTTCACAGACTATCGTGATTGGACAGCGTATATTCGGCCAGATCGTATATCACATACGTCATACTTACTTCGACATTTCAGACAGATAATGTGAACGTGTATTTGTTCCATCAACACAAGGTGGATTTTCACAGACTTAATTTTGCCACAATCATTCTATCCGTTTATAGAAACTGATATTAATCTTGTGTTCTATAATTAGACTTTCGCAGGACTTGCATTATCTCTTTAGGGAAATTCCGACGTGTGTTATGGGAAAAGCAACGTCTTTGCCCATACCAATTTGCGCAGCACATAATGCCCCTGTCAAGTCTCTTAGTAATAATGAAAAGCGAAAGGCTCATTGTTGTAACGTACGTATCTGTGATAATGGGCAACTCAAAAAAGAGTACAAATTTATTATTTACGTCATAACAACCGATTTCTCCCGCTTTCGGTTAGTTAAAAACGGTGGGTGTGAGTAATCTCAAACGTTTACTTATTAATGTGTAACGAAACTTTGCAGATTTTAGATTTGAAACGAAAAAACGACATACTAATACAGTTAAGTTATTATTATGCAGTTACAGTGATGTATGAGTAGGCAATGTAACATCATGATATTATCAGATATTTACGCATTCGTATAAATCTATCCACTAATGCACGTCGTGATAGAGCACCAAATAATATTCTTCACTTGAGCGCTACCAATAATCCAATTGATCGGAAAAAGTTACTTTATTCAGCTGCTGTCCTGAACGTAGATAACCTACCCCTCTAAATCGTCCAAAAACAAAAACTATGTTGACAACCTGAATCGTCGATGTCTTTTGTTGTCTTGATTGCTACTTCTGTGGCGGCACAAAAAAAGAAGTAAATTCTAATCGGAGCGATACGAAAAACTGCTTTTTAAGACAGACACACACCGTCCTAGAAAATTAAAGTAATATGTTTATACAGTAAACGTAACAAGGGTAATGCCGGTTGATACGCAGCAACGCTGAAGGTAAACATGTTTTTCAGTCAGAAATTCCATTGGTTGACACACATGATATCAAACCGGTGTCTCGTGACTGATAAGATCTGCATCATGATAAAAAAAAATTTCATCCGAGCAGACTCGTCATTTTTTACAACCGATCCGGTATTGTGAAATTTAAAAGTAGAACCCATGAAACCACAAAATATCGAAGATTTAGATTCTTATCTCCGGGAAGAACTTTCCAAGCGTATTTTCTTCCTCGATGGGGGCATGGGCACAATGATCCAAACTCTAGGATTGACTGAATCAGACTTTCGAGGAGAGAGATTCAAAAATCACCCAAAAGACCTTAAGGGTAACAACGACATCCTTGTACTGACGCAACCGCATCACATTCGGAATATTCATCTACAATACTTGCAGGCGGGCGCCGACTTTATTGAGACGAATACATTCTCTGCTACCAGCATTGCACAGGGTGACTATCTATGTGAAGACTGTGTTTATGATTTGAACGTTGCTGCTGCTAGACTGGCTAAAGAGGCGTGCAACGAAGTAGGATTTGTTGGCTGTTTTCATTGTTCGTTCTGCGATTTAATGTTGTTCGCAATTGTGCAATTAATAAAGAATGATTGTATGAATAAAAAAATTGAATCGGAATGCTTTCATATGTATATCGAATAGATGATGTCGCAAGATCCGAGCAGACCACGTTTTGTCTGTGGCGGAATTGGTCCAACTAACCGTACTGCCTCTATCTCGCCATCTGTTGAGAATCCCGCTTATCGTAATGTCACGTTTGACGAACTTGTTAAAGCATACAATGAACAAACTCGTGGGCTTCTAGAAGGTGGTGCCGATATTCTGTTGGTAGAAACTATTTTCGACACGCTTAATGCTAAAGTACGTCTCTACTATGTAAAGTTATCTATATGATTATAATATTTTAAGACCCGGCGTTAACAATGTCTTCACTTCATATCAAATAATTTCATCCTTCAAGGCCGCATTGTATGCTATTGACACTCTTTTTGACGAAGGCTACCGCAGAACTCCCATTCTCATTTCGGGCACAATTGTTGATATGTCCGGTAGGACGTTAAGTGGACAGACTGGCGAAGCCTTTGTATCGAGCGTTAGTCATTCAAACCCATTAGCTATCGGACTGAATTGTGCCCTTGGAGCGTCGCAAATGCGCCCGTTTATCAAGAATATATCGGATTTCACACACCATTTTGTGATCTGCTATCCGAATGCGGTCAGTGCACTAGTCTTGGATTTCTTGACTTGTCAGCGGAACGTGTATATTTATGGTTTATCTCGTTAATATGTGATAGGGTTTACCAAACACATTTGGTGGTTACGATGAAACGCCAGCGATGATGGCCGCGTCTGTCGCCGAGTTTGCTAAAGATGGATTTCTCAATATAGTCGGTGGCTGTTGTGGCACGACACCCGCTCATATTAAAGCTATTGCAGAGGCCTGCTCCAAGTTCAAGCCGCGAGTGCCAGCACGAGATCTGTCAAAAGATAACATGATAATCTCCGGATTAGAGTTGTTGAAGGTCAATGACGATTCTATGTTTGTAAACGTTGGCGAGCGATGTAATGTCGCCGGATCTCGAAAGTTTGCTAGACATGTATTAAATGGCGAATTTGAAGAAGCCATGGCTATCGCTAAACTGCAAGTGGAGGGTGGTGCTCAAATTATTGATGTAAACATGGATGAAGGAATGTTGGACGGAGAAGCTGCCATGACTAAATTTTTGAACATGATTGCTAGTGACCCCGACGTGGCTCGGGTATGTAATAATTGCAAGGATGAACCTGTTTGAGTCAAGAATCACTTTGCTCTACAATGATATTTTTTTTGCGCATAATCCAATAGCTTCCGTTAATGGTGGATTCATCAAATTTCAATGTCATATTGGCGGGTCTAAAATGCGCTCAAGGAAAGTGCATAGTGAATAGCATCAGTTTGAAAGAAGGCGAAGAAGAATTTATCAAGAAAGCTAAAACAATTCGTCGTTTTGGTGCTGCCGTCATTGTAATGGCTGTAAGTTTTCGGTCTCAAAACGGTCTTAATTTTGGCCAGAATCTTTGAACATGACTGACGCTGTGATGACACTAGTTTGATGAAATTGGACAAGCCGCGGAGAAGGATAGAAAGGTCGAAATATGTACAAGATCCTACAAGATTCTTACAGAGAAAGTCGGGTTTAATCCAAACGATATTATATTTGGTAAAGGAAAAAAAAAATAAAGGAGAAAGGCTTTGGCTATGAGAAACTCATCATTTTTTTTTACATTACAGATCCCAATATCTTGACTATTTGTACCGGTATGGAAGAGCATAATAATTATGCTGTCGAATTTATCGGAGCCACGAGGGAAATAAAGCAGACGCTACCTGGTGCTAAAGTGAGTGAAATTTCTTTACTAAATGTTTGAGATTACTCTATTGACTGTATTTAGTAAGATTACTAAAATCTTTAGGTTAGCGGAGGCGTATCAAACTTATCGTTCTCGTTCCGCGGAATGGACCAAGTCCGTGAGGCTATGCATAGTGTTTTCTTGTACCACGCTATCAAAGCAGGTTATTTAAACAAACTGCCTACATCATGCTACATATGTTTCTAGAGAATACCTCAGTAAACGTTTTTACACTTGCTGTTTTATCTTAAAAGGGATGGACATGGGTATTGTGAATGCCGGCTTCCTTACCATCTATGACGATATTCCGAAAGATCTTCTCGAACTTTGTGAAAATGCAATATGGAATAGGGATCCTGACGTAACAGAAAAGATTCTTGCATATGTGCAAGCTCACGGAAAAGGCCAAAAGAAGGAAGAATCTGAAGAGGAATGGAGAAAATTACCAATCGAGGACAGAATATCGTATGCATTAGTCAAGGGTATTACGAAATTCATCATAGAAGACACAGAGGAATGCAGACTACGGGTAAGTATTCCGACGATAATGTGTAGGGACGTTGTGTGATATCAAAGACTTAATGAAATATTGCATCACACTGGATGAAGCTCTCAAAACCATTAGACGTCATAGAAGGTCCGCTCATGAAGGGAATGAGTACTGTCGGAGACCTTTTCGGTGCAGGTATCTGATGTAAACGAAATTGGCTTTTAGAATTTTATTTGTCATCTAGCCAGTCATTATTTACAATCAATTTATTCATATAGGCAAAATGTTCTTGCCCCAAGTTATTAAATCTGCTCGGTAAACTCTCTACCTTATTCATCCTTAAAATTTTATGCGACACTTGTTTCTGATGATCATACACTCATAGCGTGATGAAGAAAGCTGTAGCACATTTGATCCCTTTTATGGAAGCGGAACGCCTGGCCAATATTGCAGAGGGTGGTTCTGATTCTGGCCCTCAACATGCAGGCGTTGTCGTCTTGGCTACCGTCAAAGGAGATGTTCACGATATTGGAAAGAACATTGTTGGAGTCGTGCTTGGTTGTAATAACTATAAGGTATAACTTTTATATAGTTTTTTTTTTTCATCAATTTGTTGGTTCTAAGCCTGTTATCTCAAAAGGTCATTGATTTGGGAGTAATGACACCATGCGAGAAAATTATCGAGACTGCGCTTGCAGAGAATGCAGATGTAATTGGTCTGTCTGGTCTTATCACGCCCTCGCTTGATGAAATGATATCTGTTGCAAAAGAGATGGAACGACGCGGCCTTAAGGTTTTATTAAATTCTTCTTTTATCTACTACGTTGCCGATATATCGCATCATTTATTTACTAATATGTCAATAAGATTCCTCTCTTGATTGGAGGAGCTACAACATCCAAAGCGCATACAGCAGTCAAGATCTCTCCTCAATATTCTCAACCAACAATTCACGTTCTTGATGCATCCAGGAGCGTCGTAGTGGTATGTGAGAGTCTAAATACTATGGTGTTTGTAAGTAGTTTTTAATTGCGATAATTCGATGTCTATGCAGGTATCTAATCTTATTGATAGTCAACGCAATGACTTTTGGGAAGATATTGCTGAAGAATATGAAGAAATACGGGAAGATCATTACGCTAGTTTGCAAGATAGAAAATACATGCCCTTAACTGTTGCACGTGAGAAAGGACTCAACATTAACTGGGCAGAGTCTCCCAAGCCTGTGAAGCCAACCTTCCTTGGGAAGAAATTAATTGAATCTTATGATCTGAAAAGAATTTCTCAATACATCGACTGGAACCCATTTTTCCAAGTGTGGTATGTCGCCCAAGTATGTTTTAATTCGTGGTTTTTCTTTTTCCGTGTATGATTGTTTTTAATGTTGAACTCGTCAGGCAATTAAGAGGCAGATATCCAAATCGTGGATACCCAAAAATCTTCAAGGACGAGCATGTCGGCAAGTATCATTTACCTATTGATGAGTTGGACATTTTCTCACGTATTGACACTAAGGTATTGCTCGTTACCAGGCAACGAGGCTAAAAAAGTGTACAATGAGGCTCGTATGCTTATTGACAAAATAATAGAAGCTAAATTATTCCAAGCAAGAGGAATCGTTGGAATATACCCAGGTAAGAAAAGAAGAAGGCTGTCACTATATTGGAATCGCTATTATATTGACGTCTCCTTCGTATGATGTTAGCAAACAGTGTCGATGATGATATTCAGGTATGCCAACCGCTTATTGTTTTTCATGATCAAAGCAATTTTACTGAAGATCCTACTGCTTGTTATATTAGCTCTATGCAGATGAGAATCGTGATAAACCAATAGCAACATTCTTTGGCCTGCGTCAGCAAGCACAAAAAGATAACGAT